TTCTACTTTTAAATAAGCTTTTGCAAACACCACTTACGAGAAGCAAAAGTAAAAGTTCATTTTGCAACCACTTAAAAATAGACTATGAGCAACAAAACTCATAATTTATTTGTAAAAGTTTTTGCAAACACCACATTAATTATACTAGTAAATGCCACATGTCGAAATCTTAAACACTCAAATTAAAGTTCATCGGGTGCAGCATAAAATAGACTGATTTAGACATAGGTCTCATAAGACGGCATGTTGATTTTTGAGTAAGTTAATTTCGAATTGAATTCATCAATATTTAAAAAATAATTATATATCATAAGCAAACAAAAAAAAATGAATTGGACGAAGTTTGGGTGTGTCAAATCTTAGTTAGACAAACCATATATGGCCCGACGAACACCAAGTGGGGCTGGGTCCGGGTTTAACCCGACCCTATTCTCATTCTTATATATAAATTTTAATATAATCGATCTCATCTTGTTATAATTTTGTCCTTATATTATAATTCTATTATTAATATTATTATATTATATTATTACGTTTTCTATATTTTGTCGGTTGTATTATATAAGTGGCCTAGTTGATGAAATAAGAGTTTGAAAAATCAAATGATATAATAAAATAGGAAAAGAAAACATAATATACTAAAGTGTCTTATGCAAATTGATATTATATGTCTATAATACATAACTTGAAGAATACAATGAACTTGGACTAAATTTTGATAGTTTATTTTATAATAAATGATTTACATTGATTTGATACACAATCCCAGTGTTTTGAAATCCGGATCGGATTAGCTGATTGAACTGGCTAATTCATAAATCGTTGCCTTGTGTCGGTCTAGTTTGAGCGGTTGAGCTGTGATATCGAACCCGAGTGAAAATTGGGTTTTTTTTGCCAAAATTTATGTTTTTTGATATAAAAATAAACAAATAAATGGTCAAAACAATGTCTTTCTACTATTTAGTTGAAAAACAAATTAGGGTAAATTACAACCACCCTTGAGGTATGGTCAAATTTCAAAAAAACCGTCATGTTTGGGTAATTACAACTACCCATCAACTATGAATCTTATTACACGTACACACGTACACCATTGCAATGTCAAATTTAGTGGAATCTCCTAGATTATATGGAATATTCCCATATTATACCCGTTTTATCCCATTCGAGCTCCACATTCTGAAGTGAGATGATCATAAAATATGTTTTTTGGCTTGTAAAGATCAGATTGTGGTGCATCAGAAACTGCATTTTTGCACGAAACGAGTACAAACTAGAGAACATTCCACAAAATTTAGAAGATTATGTTGAATTTGACACCATAAAGGTGAAGGTGTAAGAAGATCCATAATTGAAGGAGTAATTATAATTATCCAAACACGAGAAGTTTTTCGTAATTTAATTATATCTCATGGGATGTTGTAATTTAGCAATAAGAAAATGAAAACGGTTTTTGAAAACATTGCTAACAAACCACAACGTGGGGTGCGTCATAAAATTGTGAACTAGATTATATAAATAGAAAGACTTTTTCTGCAATCAAAATTAAATACTATGAATAATAATTAATATTATTTAGGACAGAAACATGGGAAAGCGACGTAAGGGAATTTTAATGTGCACAACAAGATTAGGGCAGATAGATATGGTTGCACGAAAGAGACACAACCCAGGGCCGGTTCTGAGGGGAGGCGAAGTAGGCGGTCGCCTAGGGCCCCCGATTTTTTACGAAAATTTGGGGCCCCCAAATTATTTTATTTACACTTTATATATTATTACTTATTTTTAAAAAAATATTATATATAATATTTTGGAATATCGGTTCTAAAATAAATTTAAGCTAAATGATCAATAGATATTTTTGCAATTTTCTTAACTTTGGGACCCCTAAATATTAAATTTATAATGTCTTAATTACTTGTTTTTATTTTAAAATAAGAATCAATATTCATTAGTGTATTCAAGTTTATAAATATTTATGAAGTCTATTTGCTATAAAGATTATAAAGATTATACGTCACGGGAGGAAGTGAACCAACAAATTATATTGTTAATTTTGAATTTTTTTCCACATTTTTAGCTACTTTATATTCATACATATCAAAAAATATTTCGGGGGCACCGCCCCCGAACCCCCATAAACTTTTATTTCATCATTTTTAGAAAATATTATTTATATTTTTTTAATACATTCAATTTCGAACACCCATTAATAAAAAAAATATATTATTTATCAAATAGGGGCCCCTTTTTTCAGTTGTTCTGTAAAACCTCGCCTAGGGCCCCCGAATTCTCAGGAACGGGCCTGACACAACCCATGCAACAAGCAGCCTCAATTATACTATGGATATTTTCATTTTTTTTATTTAATTTTTTTTTTTAATTTTAAGTTGCTTTATTTTATAGTTTGCCGACCTGTTCTTTTTGTCACATGTGTACATTTATTAGACTACGCAACTAAATCTAACGTAGAACGGAAGCGCGAAAAAGAATTAATTTTTTTAGTATAAAAGAACTCTTGGATCCACAAGAAAATAGAGAAAACTGTAAATATTTTATTAAAATTCGAAATTTAATTGAAAATAAAGTTCGAAGGCAGCGATTTATACTAATAAAACTGAAAAACTTAATTAAATAAGGAAAATACTATCTAGTAACTATGCGAACAACCCAATTTACTGAATCCTAATTCGAATTTTCTATGACTTGTTATTAATTTTCTTAAATTTTCTAACATAACAAACAAATGAAGTTTTAGGAATATTATCGATTATGTATATTATATGTACCTCTAATTAAGTTCATAATTTGAATATATTTTTTAAGTTATGTCTATGTTTACATGATTAAAGTCAAATGGCGGTTTAATAAATTACTAAATTTGGGAAAAGAAAAAAAGAACAATTTTGCCCAATAAAAACTTATATCTTATTATTATTATTATTATTATTATTATTATTATTATTATTATTATTATTATTATTATTATTATTATTATTATTATTATTATTATTATTATTATTATTATTATTAGTTTTAAAAAAGGTCTCCGGTTTCAATATATGTTTTTATTTTCAATATTTATCTACATAAAACAAAAGAGATTAGTCAAGTGAAAATTAATATATATCTTGTGGGGAATAAATAATGAATAGTGAATAATGAATAATGTATCTTATATATAAAAAGAAGATATTTTGACTTATAACCCTAAACCTAAACCTAAGGGCAAATTTGTCATTTTTTTGTTTCCCTTTTTTTTTGTTTCCCTTTCGGTTCCTTCTTTTTTCGCGTTTTTTTTGGTTCGTTTGATGAAAATTTGAAAATAAATAAAACCACCCATGGTATAAGAAACTTAACACATGACCGCACTAACTCGAAAAAAGAGTAAAAAATCCACACACGTTCACGCATAAATACACGATCGTCTGATAACTTCCCTATGTGAGCCAATCGGTAAAAGAAAAAACCAAAAAATAGCATATTTCTGCCCCTTTTGATTTTATAGAATCGGATATATATATAAAAAAAAAAAAGAATTTTATAGAATCGGCGGAAGGGGCCGAAACGCAACTCTCAAATCCTCCGTCCGACAATACCTTCTTCTCAAAAGATTATCGTATTTTCAGGTAAATTAGTATCCTCTTAGGTAAATTTGCATTTTGATTGTTTGATCCACGGAAATTGAGTGTGGCTTTTTTTTTTTTTTTTTGGTTAAAAAAAATTGTTTTTATGTTGTAATTTCTTACCTGTGTCAATTGGTATTGCCTATGTTTTCTATTAGTCACGATAAATTATTGTTAGTTGTGATGATTTGCTATTAAAGGTATAAACTTTCATGTCTTTGATTTGTTGAAGATTGATAACTCAGAGTTTGCAGTGGTAGTGCTCAAATGAAACTAATGATTTGTTCTGATTCAAATTATTCATTATAGAAATTAGTGTTGTACACTCTACATTCTTACAACCTATTTGTTGTTTAATTTGTTAATGGATTTTAGTTTCTCTGTGGACGACAAAGATTTGGCATCAATCGGCTACATTAAACTTAAGTCTTCACAGAACGTAAAAGAACCTCCAGAATGATGACGATTTGATGATTGATCTGCCATTCTCCTCTTTCTTATGCACGGTACAATTGCAACATCATTTGATGCAATCCCAGTTATTGCGTTTTCTTAATTTCTTTTGCCCAACATAATTCGTATTGAAAAAATAATTGCAATATGCCTATGTTTTGCGTGTTTTTTTCCTTACCTTTTCACTCTACTATTCTGATTTATGTACGA